CTTGGTTCTGTTTCAGTGGCCTAACGAGGTGGCACTGAGCAACAACGTGGTAACTGTGCAGTTGCCAGATGTTTGCTGTTTGTGCTCCGTCTCTTCCCCTTGGAAGAATAACCCGCCGGTGCGAGCACGTTGTGAGCGAGACACGAGCCCCCTCCAGTGGAACATCTGGTTTTTCCTGCTCGGTACTGTCAGCCGAAGGAAAGGCTGATCCTGGTGCTGGCTGCCTTTGACTCGAGGTGTTGTGAAAGCTGCTTTAGGTGTTTTGGAAATCAAGGAGTAGCTGAGGTTCTGATGTGGATCGTGGCTTATGAAACTGTCCTTTTCGTTTGTGCCCAAGTCCTATCTTAACTGGGCAAAAATGACTGTAAAATACCTGGAGAAGTAAAGAACTCTGTGACTAAACTTGGAGATGGTGGTAGAAGTACATCTACCAATTTTTTATTCTGTTAAGACAGGTCATGATCTAGTGAGCAGGCCTATTTACAGAAATTACAGTCAAAACTGGAGTCTTTTAGTCTTCCTTGGGGGTAGTTTTAAAAGCAAGATAAAGCCTACTCATTTCAAGTGATTTATGTACTGGCATATCTCAGCTCTTGAGTTCGCTCAGAATACTCTGCTTGCTTTTCTGGGTGCTCTATGAATGGGTAAATATTTTCACTTTAACACAGCAGTGACTGTTTTTTTTTTCTTTTTTCTTTGCAGTGATTCTATTCTGTATGGCAGCCCTAATATTTCCAATAGGATTTTACATCAATGAAGTTGGAGGTCAACCATATAAATTACCCAATAACACAGTGGTTGGGTCTTCGTATGTACTGTTTGTCTTATCAATTTTCTTTACAATAGTGGGACTTCTATTTGCTGGCAAAGTTTGTTTACCTGGCTGATGAATGTCTGAACTGCAGGACTTTATTTTGGAAAAGAACAAGACATCAGAATTGCATTCTCAGGAGGATGCCTAAATCAGACTATCAAACACTGACTGAAAAGAGGAATGCTTTGACTTGTTCTCACTATGCACTTTGGATGAAAAAAAAGGAGAGCCTTTCCCATAACCAAATACAGACAACGTGGACTAATCTCCTGAGCATACTCTAATGCAGTCAGGTCTGCACTGTGATAGGAACTAGTGAAGAATGCTTTACACTGAAAAGCATAAATGCCCCATGTTACTGGACTGTTCCTGTTTTTAACGTCTAACAATTTGGAAGTCAAAGTATTTATGAACTCTGTGGTAGACCAGAGGGTTGCAGAGGAATTCAAGTGAGGCTGGCCTCGCTGTTTAGGAGATTAGTGTTTTACATCTTCCTTCTGATGAGCAAAGCCTTTGGCACCAATGTGGATCAATCTTGCATTACTGCACCAAGAAGCCAATAGATCAAAACATGTTCTCTAAATGTATGTAACAGCAAGAAGACATACATCCCCTCCTCCCCCATAAGCTCTAGGAAACACTAAGGAACGTTTTAAAGGGGGATTTCTTCCTTATATTTATATAAATATATATATAAATATATATATATATTTTGCTGATGCAGTATACAGTGTGTGTGTATGTGTGTGTGTGTGTATATACACATATGTATATATATATATGTATATACACACAAATGGTTCCTGGAAAAGAACTCAGAACGCTTTGCTAGCAAAACACTGTGGTGTGCAAAACTAGAACTCAATAGAAAAAAGCCATTTCTCTGAAGGCCACATAGCTGAGAGTCTTCAGTTTACCTCATTCTTTGTAGCAGCCCTTGATTTTAACAGTTTTTTGTAATAGGTACAAACGATCCCATGCCTTTCTAGGTGCAATTTTAAGTTAAGCTAAAATTCTTTTTATGGTAATTTATTTGTATATGAGGGTAGAAGGTGAGATCATGTCATGCCGTAAAGTTAAAATCCTAATTTTGGGAAACTGACACTATTTAAATTATTAGCAACTGTTGTACAGAAAATCTCTTTTTCTACTGCATTGTTACATTAGCATTCATACATGTTCAAGCACAGCATTTTACCATAGGTAAGCATTTCTCTAGCACATGTCAAATGCAATGTTTAAAGTAATGCAAATACTATTCCACTGCAAAGATGGATGAACTTATTTTCACTTGAGTATTAATTCATCTTTGCCAAAAAAATGAGCAATATAAGTATTGAAAAATATATGCCTTGTTTACTAAAGTTGTTATTTTAAATGTGGATTTAATGACCACCCAAATTTGGAGTAAATATTCCTCACTAAAAGTAGTTTTACTTTTCAGCACATGGATAAACCATTGAACCCACAGACGTCTTAATTCACTACTTGGTCTAACCTTGCAGAAAGTAGTTTGGTGTTCCAGGGAAGCTGCCTGCACTATCAATATTTGTTTTCCAGTTAATCCATGTTTTACCTGGGATTCTTTATGAAAACAAAAACAATAATCCGTTTTGAGCGCTGTTTCATTGCATTTACTGGGGGAACTGCATTTCTGAATAGACACTTTCCTAAACTGTTAGGGAAAGTGTATTTTAGAATGAGGTGGTTATTGAAATATAATCAGCAGTTCCCAAATTAATCACTGATCAGATAAGCTGAGGTGTTGGAAAATAACAAAATTTGCACAATTATTTTAAACTGTGTGCCATTCAGACCCTAGTGGGTCCCTGTCCTTCTCACCTCTTCCCTCTCCCCCTCCCAAGGTATTTTAATACAAAAATACTATTTGCTGATTTAAGTCTTTTTTCTTTTGAAATTTTTGAACAAACTTGTCACTGGAATAGTTCATAAGCAACTTTTTCTTTTCCAGTCAGCTCATTCACAGGTAAAATGGAGTGTTTATGGATAACTAAATTTTTCTAAAGTATACTAATCTGTAAATACAGCCAGGCACCTACTTTGAAGTAGTGGTTTAAATATGATTTGGTTCCTAATTTAAGTCTGAGGTCCCTAGTGATGTTGGTGGAGATAAAAGGCAGGGTTCAGCTGCTTGATATGTGTCAAAATTTTGGTGTTATCACTACCGTGTCCTAAGATAAAGTATTCACTAAAACTTAGATTATAAATAATATTGAAAAAAAAAGGCTCTTATTTTTTTCAGAAATGTCACACTTGTAAATAGTTCTAGATCTTTGTAACTGGAACACAGGTGGGGGGTGGGGAGGGTTTCTCAGCTGCTAAGATTTCTTCCCCTTCCCTGCTCCCCCCAAATTATTTATTTCAGTTATAGTAACATCCTATGGATTTAGGCTTTGATTAAATGGATCATCATTTAATAAAAATAAAAAAACCAAACACTTATCTTGGAGCATACCCAGACTGTGGTTGGCTGACTGGAAATTTATCTGATCTGCCAATGCTATTGCTATGAATTATTAAATGATAACAGAGATTTAACAAATAGATTTATTAAATATTTGAGCATTTTAAGTCCAGAAATAGATGCAGCCGTTTGCATTTAAAAAAAGCCCAACCCAATAATTGAAGAGACAGCTGTCAACAGTTGCTTTTAATAAGGTCACTAAGTACTATATAGTACAGTATTTATAGAAGAAAATCAAATCTTGTAAACTGTATATAAAACACTGTTTTATGGTGCAATCATTTGTCAAACTTATGTCCGTTACTTTTTTTTTAAAGTTGTGTGCATTCTTTTCATACCTAAGAGCATCACTGTAAAATCTGCTGAAGACTATTTATAGGTTTTATTTGCACAAGGTTTTGTTTTAAACTACAGGAAGTTCGTACTGAACATGCCTAAACATCTGTAGACTTTTTCAGTTCATGAAAAGCAAATGGTTCCATATGAATCTTCTCCAAAGGTAATCCCATATTTGTGTTGAGTGTTTACATAAACTTTTCTGATTCTGCCAGCCATTATTTTTAACTTTTTGAAGGACAGCTCATTTCATATGTCACTAGAGAATCTCATTTAGTCTTTTGCTTCGACATTCCCCCAGAGGTTTGATGTGCCATCATAATGTAATTTGTGCACACTTTGTCATTTATTTGGCTAACAATATGTAAGATTGGAAACTTGAAATACTTTCAGAAGGGAAACTAGTTAATTTGTCTGTGTAAATCTCATTGTTGAGCTCAGCTGAAATAATTGCCTGGAAGCTGTTTGTCTCGGACCTGGGGAGGGTGTGCTTCCCTGAGCACACCAGTCTGACCATTTAATGTGGTTTTCTGTTGTTACTCTTGCTGGAGAGCGATACCGGTGTCCCGCAGACACCGGTAGTGAGCCACACCACCCTGTCCCCTGGCCGAGGTGGCACCGCCAGATTCGGGCTCTCCTGCCATCCCTGTGTTTCTGAGCCGTTGTTGAACCACTCCAGAACACAACTGTAGGTTACTGTCCGCCCTGACACACACACACACAGGAAAATGGAAGCTGTCCTTTAAAACCTTTGTGAAGGATGAACATAATGAAGGAAATGGTGTCTGCAGGCGGGCTGTCCTGCCTGGGCGCACGTTGCTCCCGCTCGAGGCCGGACCCACCGCCTGCGCCCCCGGCCTTTTACTGAGGGTTGTTTTCTAATTGGTTTAGAGCATTTTTTCAATTAATGATTTCCGAACAAATGTTAATACAAACTGTATAAAATGAACATAATTTTCTTCACTTGTATTTTTGTTATTGAGCAAGTTTATCAAAATAAATTGTCTACTAAAGCGACTGGCCCCGGCTGCGCTGACTGGAACCGGCCCTGCCCTGCATTCAGGTGTCCCCACAGCAAGCCCTGCAACTGTGCCCTCAGGTGTCCCTTGAGATGTCCCCACAGCAAGCCCTTGCAACTGTGCCCTCAGTTGTCCTCCCTCAGGGTATCCTCTCAGATGTCCCCCCTCAGGTGTCTTCTCAGGTGTGCCCTCAGGTGTCCTCCATCAAGTGTACCCACAGCAATCCCTGTAACTGTCCCCTCAGGTGTCCCCTCACGCCCGCCGGGGCCCGCGCCCCCCGCCCACACCGCCCCCAGGGGCGGGAAGCGGCGCGCCGGGGCCGCTCCGTCTCCAGCGGCAACGCCGTAACACGGCGGAGCCGCCGCTCCGAGCCGGGCGGGGACCGCGCTGGGCCCTTCCCGCCCCTGGACCCCCGCACGGGGGAAGGGTCAGAGGAGCACCGGGAGGTGCTGAGGGGGCTTGGCGGGGGATCCCTGTCGTTGGCGCGGTGCCCGCCCGGGATTCCGGGGCGTGCCCAGGGAGGGTGGGCAGGGAACGGGGAAGGTGAGTCCGACAGGGCGGTGCGGGGGAGCCGAGGGGTTCTTCCCCCGCCGGGGAGGTGAGTCCCGGGGGACCGTGCGGGGGAGCCCAGGGGTCTTTTCCCCCGTGGGTTGAGGAGGGTCGGGGGGGACGGGAAGGGTGCGCTGACTGCGCTGGGAGCGGCAGGGCCCGGGTGGCCCTGGACGGTGGAGCCCAGCGGAGCGAAACCCGGCATTTTATGATGGTTTTTGCTCAGTTCTTACCGCGCCTAAGGCCGAGGGGCAGCTCTGCGTTTTGCTGTGGTTAATCTCGTTTCTGGCTGTGAAGCGGGTCTCCCGGCAGCTGTGCACAGTTACATTTAACTGCATAAAATCCCTTAACAAGCAGCTCCTGCAGAATAGTTCCTAAATCCGTTTTCTGTAAATGGATAATTGTAACTTCTCTTTGTTTTGTTTTTTTTTAGTTTGCTGTTGTCCCACCTACAGTATAAATTATCATTTAAGTTGCTGACAATATCAACAATACCTTTTTAAGTAGTGTTTATTCCTGAGGATTTAAACATTTTTGCATTTTGTCTTTTTGCTTCTAACAAGGCTAAGTCTATTCATATAATGGATACACACATCAGGAAAACGGCATGGTTGTTGGACAGTGATCAGTTTCTGGAGAAAAATGGGTGAGGAAATTGTTACAGAAGCTTGTTGGGGGTTCATACATAGATATAAAATAAATTTTAGCTCATATAAACTATGTACTATATTCCTTCAAAACATTTATCATATATTAAATGAATGTTTAAACAACTGGCAAAGTATAAAACAGTTTCTACAGAAGAAAAATTAAACGACTTTATGACAATACAGGAACATTATGGGTAATGAAGTAATCCCATAAAATTAATTGTCTTGTAGGGTGGCCACAAAATCCCATGTCCAGGGTGATCCTCTACCATGGCAAGATTTTACTGCGTCTCATCTAGGACCAGATAATGGATTATTGGGAACACATACCAACAAGACACAAGATCTGCTGGTAGGCGAGTTTTCCTGCTAAATGGAGCAACTAGAACAGTGACACATACCCACAATAAATACAGAGTAAGAAATAGATAAGCTGATAGACAACTAATATGTTTCCTTAGATATATTTGCATATACACAGACAATTTGATAGATATAATCACTGAAGTGATGCAACTACATGTAGTTGTTCTGCAGAGATAAATCAGTCTGTGAACAAATCAGGCAAAACAATAAATGTAGATCAGCTGTAGACCCTGCATTTTTCTTCAAAAAAGCAGAAGGCTATATGTCCTTTCAAACTCTGAGTCACTTTTTGGAGATGCTTATTTCATTTTCCTCTCTGGTAAATCACTGGGGTATTTATTTTAATTCTTTTACTGAACTCTACTATTTCTTGTCTTCCTTCCTGTCTTCTCCAAACTCAGTTCTCCTTCCCCTTCCTTTATCTCACAATCTGGGGGTATTCTGAAAGCTTCTTTTCCTTTACATCCCACATCCAACAGAGTATTCCAGTAGCTAAAATTATGTTGTTCTTGGATATGCACTGCCTATCAGCAACTGTCCTTAGGACATACATTTTTGTCACATTTGAACAGCACTTTAATTCCTCATGCTGCGTGTAATTTTTTCTTATTTGATCCATAGAGAGGACAAATGAAGACAATACAGTCTCAAATGATGCAAACCACAGAAGAATGGATAAGAAACTACAGTTTAGAATCCTTGCAATTAACATTAGAGTATCTGGTAAACAAGGGCAATATTATTTTGTAAGTACAACACTACCCTTGCTGCACTCAGTCCTAATTTATGTGCACCTCTGATGTTAATTATGCACAGTGTTCCAGGAATTCAGGAGATGGTGTTGAAGGGATGGTGTTTACAGAGGAGACTGTTACTGATTTTGAGTCCAGACTTTCTGAGTAAGTATCAGTCTTGTTTACAGTTTTGATCTGTAAGTGATTCTATATCCCCGCTCCCCAGGACTGCAAGTCCTGCCTTAAATCTTAATTTGTTTTCTGTGGGAACTTCAGAGTACCTCAGCATTAAATCCTTTCTGCTGAGATTTAGGGTAGGTGATAATTGTGTATCACTACAGCTGAAGCTTGGGGTTCTTTTTAATGAAGATGCCTATTAACCAGGTGTTAAGGAAATAATTTAATTAATAGGTTCAATAAGCTGTAGGGTAACTATAACATTTTTACTGGTCTTCACAATTCCTAGGAGTGCTGCCACTTCAGCATACCTCACTGTGTCTGGCTTTTATAAAAAAGAAGCAGCTTTTCTCTTTTGAAAAAGCAAAAAGGTTTTTCCCCTTTCAAATATTTGTTTAAACTTTTTGTTCACCAAATCGTAAAAATCCTGTGCGTGGTTTTAAAAAGAAGTAGGTTAAAGTAAAACAGTCTTAGAGGCCAGCAAGCATTTTGTTTTACCTCAGGTTATACCTATTTTGACATTAAGTTGTTGAAGGTTGTGCTGTAGTTAGTCTGGCACAACAACGAACGTGCTGCCTTTCAGTCACAATGTTACATTTCATAAGTGTCTTAAGCAATAGTGTAGTTTTTATTAAATACATCTCCTGACAATAAACTGTGTGTGATGATCTAAACTCAGTAGTGCCTGAGCTGCTGTTGTTCACATATAGAGGTGGTGAGTATCCCTCTCCTGTTTCTGAACAGAATAAACCAGCAACTCGTTAGAAAACATTTTGGTGATCCAGTTTTTCAAACATATCTGATCAGTCAAACAGCTTTAGGGGAAGGGGAGTTTAAATGGTTAACCCTGCAAGCACCAGTTGTGTAAGAGCACTGAAAACAGTATTTTTAAACACCTGTTTCTCAAAGATTTTGCATCTGTGAGAGAAAGGATGTGATGAAGAGAGATGGTTGATTGTTGATTGTTACACTGAAGCACAAAGCCAGGGAATGCCTTAGCTAAGTGTGTGCTATGCCTTTTGTCAGAGCAATTGAACTTTATCAGCAGAGAATTCAGTGGCTCTTGGAGGACAGCAGAAAGGTAACTTTAACTTTGCAATATATTTTTAGAGTGGAACTGTATATGAAATTAAAGAATAAATTAACTTTTGAATACTAGTGAGAAGTGACTTGCAGAAAGCTTATGCATTTTCATTTTTTCCTGTGAGTTCCACATCATGTGCAGCGATCTTGGCAGTGGATTGGTTTTTTTGATCTTTCATTGGTATGCAGTTTTCTGCTTTCCAGATCTAGTATTTTTCTTTCTCTTAGCAGTTTTAATCATCAGGACCTCCCAGCACAACTTAAATGGGAGCAGACAGTGCTGAGCATCCTCTGACTGGAGTGGAACTGTCTCGTAGTCCCTTGTGCCTTCTCTTGCCCAGCTGGTTATGCACTAACTTTGCCCAGCAGTGCTAATGCTCAGGATGTAACTCCCTCTCCAAGGGGAGAGAGAAGGAAGCAGCATTCCAAAATCTGGTTTCCACAAAGTTGCTTGATTTGGCCTGAAGGAGATGCTACAGACAATGTTATGTTTGATTTATCCTCTCAAACAATGAATAGGTTGTCTTGGGAAGGAGGTAATATGATTCACTGGTAAGGATTAGCTGGGACCCAGTTAACTCTTTTGTTTCTTTTTCTTCTTCTTTTTTATCCCTTTTTTCCTTCTTTTTTCTCTCCTTGACTTTGTCACTGTGTCATCTTTAGTCTAAAAGGTTTAAAATGAAAATAAATATCCAGTACATGATTTAAAAATGGTGTTGTACAGAATAAACCATAAAATTATTAAAATTGAGATAAGCTAGTATTTACAATTACTTGTCTCTTGTAAGGTGTTTGGTGTTATAAAAGGAACCAAAGTGGGACTTTTGATTGATGTGTCTCACATGAGTTATGGACCTAGACTACTGGATTTTCAGAAGGACCTTTTGGTAAGTAATAATAAAGTAAGTTCTGCCAATTCGAACATTATTGAAGTAGTATTATTAAATTTTCTCAATTCTGTCAGTGTTCCCAATGGGATAAACTTGCCTAACAGAAACAGTTAGAGGTAGAACCCAGTTGTACATAGAGCTGTTTATAATAAGTATGGTTTTCTTATGCCTTTACATTTTGTCACAAGGCACATTTCACAGTCTTGGTCAGAACCTTGGTGAATTAATCAGTTTCTGAATTCTTGGAAGAAAATTGTCCTTTATTATGCTCTTTATTTTTAGAAAACTTTTGTAGTAAGGAAGGAAGATATAATGTAGCTGGTTTACTGTCTAAATTTGACATTTGGTACGGTTTAATTTCCCACATTCTTGAATTATTTAACATCAATTTATATTATCTGCATCTTTCATTTGTATGTTTCAGATAAAACTCCTTCAAGAAAACTCAGTTTCCTTAATATTTGAACTATTGTTTAGCCCCATGCATGAACATGTACTAACCATTTTTAGTACTTGCTTGGTTGGTGGATATGTGCATTCTAGATCAGGGTTGTTTCATGTGCTCATCAGCTTTACAGAAAAACTGATACCAGTACAACAAATATTCCTTGACTTCTGCCCCATTAACAAATCAGTTGGAATACCATAGGTTTGCAGGTTTTGTCTCTGTACTCCTCAAATATTTGAATATGTATGAGTTTTTCTTGAAAGCTTTTCTCAGTGGTAGCTGGAAATACTGCTGTCAACTGACTTTTGGGAAATTATTATTCTTAATCTTTTACATAATAACCCTACTACTGGATAGTAATGCATTTTCAATTTTTTGTTCATTAGTGCTTAATAGATGAGCAGCTTTGTTATAAGAAGCAATTGTACTGCCTCTCATTCAGTGCAGAAATTTCACCGCTGTGGGAGAGTCCAAAAAACATCAACGTTCACGTGTAAGTAAGTTCATTTCTCCAAAAAATAAAGGTGTTTCAAACAAGGCCTGCATTTAATTAGAACAATCTCTTGTAGGCAATAGTGTTTTTCATCTTGTGCCTGTAGTGATTTTAAGAGGGGAGAAAAAGCAACGAGTTCAACATGTGGTCAGCGATTTCCAGCTGGTTGTTCATGTTTAAAGTATCTGAGCAGCTCCTGTGGTTTGCAGTAATTTTCATGATCCTCTTCTTTAGCACCTGTACATATTCTTTTTCTTTTTTCCCCCTCCTAGGCTACATGAAGCGAGACAGTGGATACAAGAGCTGGAGCCTGGTCAAGGCTGCAATTTGCTGAAAGCCTTTAAGCATGTCCTTACAATGAAAGAACTGAATTCCCTGGTTCTTATTGTAGGAAGCTGGTAAATTCATTCTCTCTCTTAACAGCCAGCTTTATCTTGGATACAGAATTGGGACAAGAAACCAGACTGGATACAAAAATAAATAGAAAATTTAAGATCCAGGGTTTATATGTTTTTAGTTCATACCATTGAATTCCTTTATTTGTTCCCTTTTTTACTATTTATAAATCTTTTCTGATATGAAGCTACATTTTTCCTTTGCAGATCGATTATCACAGTAATCTATTGAGAGTCTGCTAGCTCTAATTTTACATCAATAAAATCTTTCAGCATCATTAAGGATGTCACTGAAAGGATCCATGCCTCTGTGAAGATTGGAGGATAAGCTAGATTTTGCTGTAAAATAGCATTAAATGTTGAAGGATTGTCTTCTCTCTGTGATCTTAGTTGTGCTAATGGAAAACTTAAAATTTCTGATTAAATAAACTAAACCAGGCTGAGATTATATAAATTATGGACATAAATTCTGCAGTTCTTTTGTCATAATTTGAAAATTGCAATATTGCAGTTGAGATTACAAGGAAAAGACTACAGTAAGGATTCTAGGAGTGTTACCCTACTCCTAGTTTATTAATTGCAAGTTAAGTTCTAAAGCACAAAGCAAAGTTTTCCTTTCGTTTGGGCCTTTGGAAGACAGTGTTGAAAGGTTTTTTCTCATTGTTTGTCACAGGGGCCAAAGCCACAACTCCTGATTTTTATCTTCCAGGGCCAGGAGGGAATAATTTAGATAATTTAATCCACAAGGTGTTGTGAATTGGAATAGAATCTTAGTGCTTTTGTTATCATTCAGGTTTTTAGGACAGAATTAAACCCTAGTAGTGGTACCTCAGTAATGGTTGAAAAAGGGAGAGGAGGTCAGGTTGTGCTAAATGCATAAATCATTCCCATGATTTATTATTTCTTTCCCACTGTTTTTTCTTCTCTGCCTTCTTCAATATGGCCTTCCCCCCCATTTAATTACTGCCATTGTTAATATCTCTTTTTCTTTACTTTTTGTATCAGCCCTGATCAGCCTTTTGAAATATTGTGTGATTATGCTCAGCAGTGTTTGCTGGGGAGAAAACTGCAGATTCACACTGTTACATATGATTGCAGCAATCCTGCTTCTCTTGTAAGTAATTGTGTTAATAATTAACTTCCTTAAGTGTCCTGTCTTTTTTTTTTTTATTCAGCTGTAATGCCTTCTCTCATAAACTTGTTGGGGAGCTGACCTAGTCATTAGAGAGTTCTTGATTTAGTGTTATATTTTCTTTAGAGCAGATTTGCACACATGAAAAAATCTGTTTGGAGCATCATCTTGTAACTTTACTGAGTTAGTTTTTCAGCCTTATTAAAATAAGACTGGTAAGCAAATGATGGAAACATAATTACTTTGGCTTTCTCACTACATGTACCTCAAAGATTCTTTTCCTATCTGTAATTGAGAATTGAATACCAACAACCCAAAAGAGACTAGCAAATCAAAGTAACTCTTTTTCTTCCTGTTTATGTTGTGTAGGCAGTTCTGAAGAATCTTGCAGAAGCTGTAGAAAGCCGTTATCATTGCTACTCTTCAAAGGGAGAGGTGGGTGACAGTTAGAAAGGCAAAGCATTTTTCTCTCTTTTTGATGATTCTTCCCTTTGAGGAAGTAGAATAATTATGATCTGAGTAGAAGTTGCTAGCAAGGCTTGGTACTGAAAGTCTCTGTCACAGAAGTGCTGAGGAAGTGGTCAATAAACCTGTGGTTAATTCTTTCTGCAACTGGAAATGTTCCTAAAAGCACAGTAAATTCTGCAGATACTGTTTACTGACTTACAGCTGATGAAAGCAATGGTTTATTGTAGCATGATTCAAAATAATAAAATAATATCTTGTTTATAAATTATTTCTAGTTTATATGCAGTGCATTAAATACATTTACACTCAATTCTGCTATGCCAGGCAGTCTTGTATTGATGTGTGCACTTTAAAATAAGAAAGCTGGTGTGGGTTGGTGTTTGAATAGTAGTTAACTTATTTTTCCCCATTTGTTTTTATATTTGCAGTATTTTGATAGCAGTGATTTTCATTTGCTACTTCAGGAGTTCCTGAAGGCCAAGGACCTACTCAAAAGCATCAAACAGACTTTTCAAAGAAGACTTGGTGGCTCAGTTAGTAGTAAAACAGCCGATGTATCCTTTCATTTTCAGATAGATGTTGAATAACCAAGGTCAGAAATGTTTAGGTTCACAATATGAAAAAAAAAATTTATAAATAATCAGGCATTTTCAAAGTGTTTTGCTTGTTGTAATCACAGCACTTTAGTTTTAATTATGTCCACCATACTGGATACTTTGGACTGAGCATAAAAAAAATGATGCTGAAACTTGCAAGAGCTTTTCTTAAAATCCATTTCAGGTTTCTGCAGGATTTGCAAATATAGCACCTTCCAGCTTCTTCCCAAAGCCTCCAAAGCTCAAAGGACCATTAGTTATTCAAACACCAAGTGTCCTGGCCAAAACCTCAACAGACTGGTTAAAGACATATGGATTGAAAGGTAGCACAGAAGGAAAAACTTAACAAATATGAAATATGAATCTGAGTGTGTGTTCTATATAAAGTATTTATTTCTTCCTATAGCCAAGAAGTTAAACCTTTATCAAGTTCTGGCTCCCAATGCTTTCTCTCCTGTGGTGGAGTTTATACCTATTCTTAAAAAAAGAATATCATCAACTCTGCATGAGGTAAGTGATGAGGAACGTTTTTTTCCTGTGTTTGTTTCTTTCTATTGCTACGTATTTCTAGTTAAAATCAGTGCTTTGTAAGTTAGTGAAATTCTACAGGCTTTAAAAGAAATTTGAGCCATGGATTCAGATCAAATACTACTGCCATTCTTAAGAATGATTATTATTTATCCTTCTAGAAAATCATGATGCAGTTTGAATGGCATGATGGAACTGTGAAAAATATCCATGTTGACCTGCCAGTATTATACAACTACCAGGTGAGTTGTCTGTCTCAGGGCTGGATTACCATCTAATTATTCCACATTAAGTGTCCTTTTCTAGCTTGATATGCCCTGCATATACTTGCAAAGGTCATTTTCTGTAGAGTTTAGACAAATTACCTTAATGTCTTTAATTTGATACTGTGTTAAAGAATGATACGTTTGAAAATACTGTGTTTATTTTAAATGATGTGTTTTGTTATGTACCCTGCCTAAAAATGCTATTGAAGAAATGGTAAACTTGCAAAAGCTGTATTTTTTAAGCTTCTTTTTTTCTTTTGGTGATATGCCTGACCACTATTTTGGGACGTGCTAGCAAAAGGAAAAGTGAAGAGGAGAGTTTAGACCTTTAGACTCTTTGTTGCTTTTTGGTCACTGTATGTTTTTCTCATGGACTGTATTCTCTTATTGTTACTAAGAATGAAATACTGCTGTCAAAATGAACGAAAATCCTTTTTTTTTTTTCATTACTGTGCTGCCATGTTACTTCTGTGTTAATCATTTGATGATAAAAGACTTGAACTTTTTATTTTTAACGTAAATTTTCTGTATTTTATCCATAGAAACTCCTTACTAAAATGGTGAATATCTATGAGAAACGAATTGACTGGCTCTCCATTGCTAGCAGAAGAATATGGGGGAGTGTTTGTGAAAAGAGGTATTGTATTTGACAGCCCTTTTTTGTGAGATTTGAAGTCTTCATCTAGTTCTGTGTTTGAGGACAGTGCTTATTTACAGTGTGTCTGAGGCCTTACCCAACCTCAGTTGCACAGTTGCTCTTTTTTTCTAAGATCTCACCTTATGTTTTGCAGAATTAAATTCAGTGTTTATACATTTTGATACACAGGTAGAAGATACTTTTCCCATGGCAAGTTGGAGTGCAGTGAAGATAAAAATACATAATGAAATAAGATTTTTTTCCTTTTCTTATCCAGGGTGGTTATACTTGTTGATATATCAGTGACAAACTCTATGTACATCACCCATATCCAACATTCTCTGCGACTTTTACTTGAGGAACAAATGTCAAATAAGGATTACTTCAATATCATAGCGTGAGCAAGTGTTGAAGATTCTTTTAAAATAATTGTAATGCATTGCCATGAGACAGGTCTGCTCAGAGACTGTAGTTACTAATGGACATATTTTAGATTTTTAATTGTACTTAATGTTTTTTAGTGAAGTAATTGCAAAACTAGCAATGGTTTGTCTTTATTGGGTGAGTGTATGGATCAGATGAACAGAGATCAGATTAGTAATTAAAAATCACTGGTTTGGGTGTGGCTCACTGGAACTGATTGCATCATCCCTGCAATCCAATACTCATCCTGCTATACTGTTCATAGCAGTATTAATACCCCAAATGAGATTTTTCTTTTGCAGTGAATTTATTCTTTCTTTTTGCTTGTTCTAAACCATAATCTGCAAATTAATTGCTGTTATCTTTCCATGTAAGATTTGGGAGTGACATTGTGCCTTGGCAGCAGGAACTGCTTCCTTCCCATCCAGAAAACTTAGAAAAGGCTTGGAGGTAGGATCAAATAATTATCCCATGTGTGTGAGTTCAGTGACCACAGGTCTTGTGAAACAGATGGAACAAAGAACAATGTGAACAATTACAAATATTTTTACATTTATCATATTACAAAAATAGGTTGCCATGTTCTGCACTGATTGTTCATGATGGGCTGTTGTAAAGACACCATTATAAAGTTTAATATGTCTTAATGACTTTGTATTTCATATATATACACAACATATATGTACCCAGATACAGAAATGTCTGTGTAAGAAAGGCACAGGTTACATCAAGAGTTGAAGACTGCTTCAAATACAACTGAAATGTGAAACCTGAACTATGTTTTTTTCCCATATACTTTGGAAATAAATCCCATGTTTCTTTTTGTGGAGTGACACCCAGAGTGTTTTCATTATATATCAGGTTTCATTTTTATTTCTGTAAGTTCTAGTATGCTAACATTTTTCCATATAAAATTAAGAGATAATTGTTTCCTTTTTATGCTCTGTATCTCACCTTAAAAACTGGTTTTCTATGGTGGCAGTACATAAACTAGAACAAATAATTTGGGCCGATATATAATTTGGTTTTGCACTCTGTCATTCTCAAAAATTTTAGACTCCAGTGCAGTGTTATTTCAGATTCTTAGCTCTCTTTATTGCTTTAAGGAGAAACAAAAGCTTTTGTTTCTTCATTCTTTGAACTGTAAACATCTTTTTTTAGATGGGTGTTGAGCTTGCAGTGCAAGGGCAGTAGAAATTTCATGAGTGCACTGAGGAGAGCTGTAGAAGTCGACTTCAAAGACAAAGAGAAACACAAATCACAAGGACTTTACCTGCTGACTACTGGAATACCTGATCAGGAAACAGTAAGTATCATCATAGGCAACTCTTCTGTAAGTTCCTATCAGAATTAGTCTCAACTCTGGTTTTCTCTCTTTTTTCCCCTTTTTTTTCTTTTCCTTTTGCTAGTCATCACAGTTCATTGGCAGAATATTCCTCCTTTACATCCCTAAGGCAGCCCAAACTTCCATCTCTGCAATTGCTGTACATGTGTTGGAGGCAGCAATTATTAATAATGTGCCATTCATGGAAAATTCAAAACTTGCTCTTAGGATTCCCTCCCCCTCCAGCTCTGGCCGTCATTTCACTGGACATTTCTGAGTATGAACAACTCTGATTTTTTTGTATGGTACCATTTCCTCATAACTCAGGGGAACAAAGACACAAATAATTGTCCAGTGAAACTCCATAGTACCCTGTGTAGAGACAGCTCCTGTTTTTAACCACAGGAATCCCTTGCTTGGATACATGTTCATGGTACATGGGCTCTAGGGCTGTTAAACCATGTGCACAGCCCAGAGTTCCTCACCATGAGTGTACAGTGAGGTGTCTCTTCTCTGGAAATTCTGTGCAAACCTAAGAAATCATCAGATTGGGAGGATTTGTATATCATTTATAAGTGTCAGGAACCAGTGGAGTGGACAGAAGCTTGTCTGAGGTAGAGGGTCACTACTGATGGGGTTTTTTCTCTGTCTTACAGCACACCATCAGTGCTTATGTGGCTGAGGTTTGCAGAGGTTTTGATTTACAGCTTCATGTCTGTCTGTTCAGTGCCATGGAGGACATTGGCTCCAGTGGGGTTATCCCAGCCCGCTATGCCAGCCCTGCAGAAACTGCCAGTGCTTTTAGAGAAATAGTGCAGGCAGCCAGGGGCAGATTCCACTGGTTTGGAGAAGCAGGTATGTGAGCAGGGAGGTCACATACTTCTTTTTCATTAATTAAATAATATGTATTAATGCTTTTTTTACTCCCAGATCAGGTCGTTGGCTTTTTTTAGGTTATGCCAATGCTCTACTAGCACTGAGATATAAACTCAAGTTGTAGTTTTATTGAGACTTTCAATTGCATTGCAGAATATTATAATGCAGCCTTAACACAGCAATTTGGTATTTTCTATTTGAATTCACCATTTTCTGTTAGTTTTTTTAAAAATGAGCATTTAAAATATAGTAATATATATATTACTATATATATAATATATAAAATATTATAAATGTATATATAAAATGTATATATATTATATATAATATACTACTAACATGATAGGTTCAAACAGTGAGGGTTGCAGGAAACAGAGGTTTTGTGATTCTTTTCTCTGATATTTGACATATCTACAAATTGTTGTACATTTACAAAAATACATATTTTGTACACTCTAAAAAACCCTAATTAGTGTCTATTTGATTATCAGGTATTTTTGAAAGTGATGATATTACTAGTATTGTGTCGGAAATGGAAAAAGCAAAAAACTACTCCCAAAAGGTATGAATTATATGTAACTTTTTAAATTATGTATTTCTTCCTAAAAAAAATTCAGTGGTGTTTGTTCAGCTGTCAGTGGAGGAGATTGGACAAAATGAAAATCCTTGCAAGGGCAGGAATATTCTGGAGTATTAGAACAGTCACCAAAGGGTAAATATGGACTGGGAAGCAGTTGTACAACAGCACTGCAGTGACTGGTGTTGGAGTAGCCATGATTCCTTATCAAATGCATGGATTTTACAGTTGAAATGATTCTCCTTTTCTTTGCTAATCCTGTGATGAATGTTTCTCAACTAGAATTAATTGTTCCTTATAATTATATATATTAATAAATAGATCTAAAATGTATATGTGTTATACAACAAACATAATATTATGATCTTAAAAGTCACAGTGGAGGGAGAGTTGTCACTGGCACAATACCTTTGTTCAATTCTAAAACAGTTGTTTTCTGAAGTGTACCAAGGGTGTAGCATTAGACCATATCTCTCCATATACATTCACATGACTTTTTTCCAAAGATATTTAACAAAATAACTAAGGCAGTATAGCCAGCCTGGCACTACAGTGGTTGTTTCTTATAAAAGTGTGATTAGGAAGAGTTATGCAGTAAGATACATGTCCAGAGGGCTGAGCACCTTGTTGGATGCAAGTCTGAGTCACAAAGGGTTTTGGTCTTGTTAAAGAAGAGTCAGTGGATATTCAATGACATCTTAAAATATTTTAGTGTCATTTAACAGATGCATATACCTGGTTCACCATCTTCCAATTTGTTCTAGCCTTGGCATACTGTTGCCTTTTCTTTTGGAATGTTTGCTCAGAGCAGGAAGGATTTCCATCCAGTGTGTTTGAGCAAGCACAACACAAAGGGGTGTTAACTATTCAGTTAAGGGTGTTAAGCATTATCAGATTGATCAATTCAATATGAATTTTATTTATTATTACAGTAATAAATATAAAATACCTGTCTTTGAAATTTCATATACTTACATTTCACGTATGTGAATTCCTAAACAATGTGAACTTCCATTTCAGTGTGCATTCCTGGTGGAATCCTTGAAGCAACGTTCAGTAAATCAGTCTGTTAATCCATTTACACCAGAAGGAGATTCAAATGCACTTACAAAGAATGAGAAAAGAAGGCCACAGAAGTTGCCATCTCCTAAACCCACAGCTCCAAGCCCGGCTAGAATGGTTTGAAATGGTCCCATTGTTAATGTGCTGGGGTTTAATTAGAGATCCTTCCCAGATATTGGATGCTTCTCTTTGTGTTCTGCTCATTTACAGATGAGCTGCAGCTCAGTAGCACATCCAGCATAAAACAAGAGCAGGATTCAGGATTTGTTTCCTGGCCACTGTGCTTATTTCCATGGAGTTACACTGCTGAGTCCTTTGGGATTTTGCTAATGTTTTCTGTGTTGTTTTTGGCTGTGCACACATTTGGTTTTGAGTGGGTGTACAAATCTGTAACAGAAAGGGACAGTGCCAGTGTTTACCATTTTGGTGTATAAATTAGTAGATACAGAGCTTTCAGTTGCAGAGGATGTATTTAACCTCTCACCTGGAACTTTCAGCTCTCATGGGAACAGCATTGTAGGTGTGGGAATGCAGGGAATGGAAATGTAGGTGTGAGAATGTTGCAAAGACCTCGTAGGTGAGCTCAGACAGGCCTTCCAGGCTGTTTTAGCAAAAGTGGCATATTCTCAACACCTCTTCACAAATGCAGGGAAAAAGTAATTACTCAGGGGTGACTACATAGCATAGTTTTGCAGGGATTAAAATTGTAGAAAACTGGTACAGGGTTGTCTGTAGATGTTTGGGGATATTTATAGTAGTGCTGTATGTTTAATTAGATGTCACTTGATGGCTCAGTGTCACAGCAAAAGTCTTATCCTACAGGAGGGTTACACAAGTGCTGTGTTGTTTAGCAGAGTGCTCAGCCCCTGCAGGGATGAGCCATACACCTAAAGGAGGAATTACTGGGGTCAGCACTAGATTTCCAATATTCAGTAAAATGCTGAGGAAGACAGTCTACACTGTATTCTATAAAACAATGCCCTCACCATACTAGACTGCTCCTTCAAGTGGCAAAAGTGGTCCCAACTCCTCTGCCTGTAGATGTTGGTCTCCAGTTTTATGGCAGCAGATGATATCAACAAGATAATAAAAACAGAGCAATTAAAAGTTACTTCACCCAGCAAGAAACTACAAATTAACACATTGTCATGGCAGTCTGCTGACTTGTCAGAAAAGCCAGAGTAAAGCAGGAACTAGAGAATAGTGAAGGGTAGTTCCAGTTTTGAATAATGCAGTTATGATCCAACTGAAACATTTTTTACAATTATTTTTTTTATGTGCTTATAGGATGTTAAAGACAACCATGGTGCAGGGAGAAATACTCCTGTAAGAGTCCTGGCATGGCGTCCTCCTAGTGCCAAAGCAGAAATTCCACCAGGTCTGGATGGATTAGGGGCTTTTTCTCTTCAGTTTCTTTGGAGTTTTGCTTAAAAGACAGTATTTAGATATTTTATTTAAGCTTTTAGAAACAGCTGAAGTTTTAATCTTTAATCAGACTGACAGAAAACATTGTGGTTGTTTTGTGTAGTGATTTTCAGCTCATATGATTGAATACCCTTCCTGTATCAGGAAATGTCTGGTGTGTGTGGTGGAAAGTAGAACCCAGCTTTGTCCACACTTGAAACCAGAAGGCTCAGCAATTCAGAGGTTTATTATGTTATTAGTTCAATATATCCATTTCCACTCATACTGTTAGATCCTATTGTCATTAATATGCTGTTTCACTTGATTTATTTATGATCTGGTAATGAAGGAAGATTACAACACAAATGTCAGGTTGTCTGAAGTGCTGACTCTTCCAGCTGTTCCTGGTATATGAAAAACTGAATTGATTCCAGTTACTCTTGGTCCCTTAAAGTCCAATTCATTTCGCCTCCATTTTTTTGTAGTTTTCCTGTGTTTTTTAATTTGCATCTTTGCAAATTTAATTTGCATCTTTGCAAGTTTAATTTGCAAATTTTTTTCTTTTTTTTTTTTACATTAAATTTGAGTCTTCAAATCTACTGATTTATTGAAATTAGAATGTTGGTATGTAGCAGTGTTTACAAATCTGGATTCATATTTGCTCTCTACAAAGTTAATTGGTTTTTCCAATAAATATTATGCTTATTCAGAGTCCTAATATTTTCAAATTAACTCCTGTGACATTCTTCCCAATGGTAATTTATACATTTGTACAAGTTTTAGTTCCATATCTATGAAAGCCACATAAGTAGTTCTGTAATAGGATTTTTCTTAACCAGTAGCTAAGAAAATGAAGTATTTATGGTTGTGGTAATAGGAATATATGAAGTGAAGAACAGGGTTGCATGTAAGAGTTTTATCTAGCTGAAGTTAATTTTTTTTTTTAATTCTTATTTATTTATAGCACAAACAGTAAAAGAATGGCCTCAGACTGAGAATAAAAGAAAGGATAAACCAAGGAAGCAGCCAGAGCTTTCTCTATCTGTATTTTACACTGATAAAGGAAGACATGTGGGTATGTCTTACCAGGATAGGATGGGTGAAGCCCCTTTTCTTATCAGCATTTTGATTATAAAACTGTCAGGTTGTTAAGTCACTGATAACTAATGTGCTTTAAACAGTGAGTGGAAGTGAGTTTATCAAACAGGGGGAAAGATTTTTTTGGTTTGAGTGGAGGTGGGTGGTTCTTTCTTTTTTTTTTCCTTTTTATTTTCTGTAAAGTCCTTTGGCATCTTCTGGTCGAAGGTGCTCTAAGTTAAAATGCTGTCATTGTGCTTTAGATCATTATAGAAAATTTGGGTTGGAATTTTTTGAAGGTGACAGTTTTTAAAAATAAGTGGGTTTTTTTTTAGGTGCTTTGATATGTAGAAACTGTACGATTTTTTCAAACGTGGAATTGTGTATGAAATGTTAGTCTGTGGGTTTGGGGGTTTGGTTTATTGGGGGTTTTGTCTGGTTGGGCTTTGTTAATCAATGATCATATGTGATTCAAAAGGGCTATATTTTAACCTAGAGCTCTCAGTATTACTTGTTCATTTTCTTAAACAGGTACAGTAAACCAGAAGTATCCAAAGACTATGTGCATAAGAAAGTCTGTTCCCCCTGTTACATTGCCAAAAGAAGAGGAAATCTGTTCAAGCAAAGAGGTAATTTTCTCCTTATTAATAAATTGCCATTTTGGAACTATCCATCTGAATTAATGAGAACATGTTGACTGTGATTTTGTACAATGTATTATTACTTAAAATTAAACTAACATTTTCCAACAAGCAATTGTTCCATTGGTTTGTCTTACAAGTGGCTGACCAAGTACAGTATAAAAAAGCTTGAATTGGAATTGCCCAGGCTGATGTTTGGTCCAGGCTGCACCCACCAAAACAAAACTGTGGAGTCTCTGCACAAGAAAGTATCAGCAAAATACTGTTCTATCTTCCCTAGTGCAGAAATCAATGTAAGTTTTTTCAGATGTCATCTATCTACTTCATTGAAAGCCTTTGTATTTGATTTAGACAGTGCATGTTGATCAGTGTTTGTGGCTTGCTGGTGTGATGTTCCCTCCACTCATCTCTGTTCTTCTTTCTAAATCATACTTGTAATAGAAAGCCAGAGAAGGTCTTTTATTCACCACAAAAAAACATTTAGGATGTTTGAAGTCTATGGGATCTTTAGGGTGTATTTCTTCTGCTCATATAGTATGAAAAATAATTTTAAAATTTTAAGTAAATCTTTTCAAAATCGTGTAAGTTGAAACTGGGAAAATGTTAGATCTTGATTTTTTAGTTTGTGTAGTGACTGGAGAGAAGCATAGAAAGGATATTATTGCTCTATCACATCTGTAAACTCTCAGAAATAATGCAAGAGCTGCACCTGTCCAGTCAAATTATATAATTGTGTTGCCCAGCACAGCTGGCTGAGATGAGAGCCAAGCTTCCCTAATTTGGGTAAACCAGTTACTTACCAGCAAAAGAGTCACAGAATTGTTTTCTGTGAGGTAAAGACAGGTATTTCCTGGAGGTAAAGAAAAAAAAAAAAATTGATCTCCCTGTTTTCTAATGCCAACATGGCATACATAGCAGCTGAGCTCAGATTTCCTGAAGTAAGATGTTCCTGTACAAACTGAATTTTTGCAGGGGGTTGTGAAACATCTGCAGTTTCAACCTAAGGAGCTGGAAATCTACACAGAACAACTGGAGCGAGTGTTGCAGCGCTACCTCCAGAGGGTACAGTGGCTGCTCTCAGGTACTGCTGTGCAGCTGCTTGTCTGGAAAGCACAACTTAAATATACACAAAGTCCTCTGCTCTGCTGTTTCTAATGGAAACAAATCCAAACCTCAAATATGAACAAAGGTTTATCTGTTTTGCATTTCATGGAAATTTTAAAAACTCGTTTTTATGGATACAAGAATACAATGGAATTTTCCATCTGTGTAGCTGGTAAACATTTAGTTTGCTGTGAAATAATTGGAGCTGTGATGTAAGTTTTTACTTTTTGGATGTTGTGTTCCTGAATACAGAACTAGAAGCTTTCTATCAACAAAATATATACAGTAACATATACAAGCTTTTAAATTAGCATTTTTGTTTCTTTTGCTAAGAATGTGCCCTGTTTAGAAGTTCAGCATCACTGCTGGTGAAAAGCATTTTGATCTCTGTGTTGCTCATAAAGATCTTTGTTTAATTTTTTGCTGGATTGTGAAGTAGGAGCTACAAATTATTTAATGCAAGTTGCTACAGTTGGCTAATAATTAATGCTTGATAGTGCTAGATTTGAAATGGCAGAAAACTTTTCTATTATTAATCTTTTAACTACCTAGTTACTGCATAGATTAATGATGTAGAAATGTGCCCAGAATAACCCCTAAAATGAAGATTTACAATATGCTCAATAAAATACACCTGTGTAATGACCCTTAATTAGTTTTCATGTTCTGGCCCAGGAAGCCGAAGGTTGTTTGGTACCATTTTAGAAGCAAATGTCTGTGTTTTGATTGACACATCTGGTTCCACTGGCCCATATTTGCCACATGTCACAAAAGAACTCACCTCCCTTATCTGGGAACAGCTGAGAAGAAATGAGGTCAGGTATGGTGAGTTACTGATAAAGATTGAAATCTGCACTACCTATTATGTAATAATTGTTTGTTAATTACAAGCAATACAGTGCTGAAACACAATCCAAGTAATTGTTAATGTTAGACTATAATGTGCATGTGACATAACTGCTTTTTCTGTTCTTTTTAACCAGCTTTTAGTTCTGAGCTCTCTAAGATCTGAGCCTATGTTGTAGGCTGATGCTGTTCACTCTTTTGGGCTCAGCATTGCCATAGGTTTTCTGTTCATGGAGAGTGAGAGATGCTTTGTGACTCCTCCAAAGCTGAAGATTTAATCCAACACTAGGTTCTGGGATGGGGGATTTGGTTGGGGTTTGGTTTTTTTCTATTGGGTTTGTGTTTGTGGCTTTTTTAATTAATTAATTTATTTACTCCGAAACTGCCTTATCCAAAGTGACTCATCGTGTTGGTGAGGGTTAGATGTTGTGGGTCATCTTTCTCCTCAGGTTTAACCTGCTGAGATTTGCAGAAAATACAGAGTTGGAAAGAGTGTCTTGTAGAGGCAACTGATGAATCATGTCATGATGCTGTGCAGTGGGTTTCCAAATTCCATGCCCATGGTAACACGTGCATCCTCACAGCTTTACAGGTTAGTAAATTGCCTGCCACGTATTGGAGAAGTGTCTTGTGGTGATAAAACACTTCCCCCTGACTGGTAACATTTTAGGGGAATGATTAGGTCAAAGCATACAACATTTTTATATGCAAAGCATTGAAACCAAGCTGCTGTTTCTGGCCCCAGGGCTCTTTGATACCAGAATTAATTGCTCGCACTGAGTTTTAAAAAAAATGTCAACTGTCAATAGTTGCATCAATATTTGTGTTCAAGGAATACTGGAGAGAGAAAATAGCCAGTTGCTCAAAATTATGTTTATGTACATCTGTGGCTGTGGTATGTTGCTCTGAGCCAAACAGGGTTTTTAAAGAAGCAGTTTGTTGGAATCTCATAGGCTTTGAGTGCAATTCTTGAACTTCAGTAGCAGGTGAAGAAACTTTTCTCCTACAAAAATGTTCAGTGTAGAAATTAAGTAGTACTAGTAATTTAAAACAGATGCTGAAGGAACTCGCAATTCCACAAGATTTAAAATTTGAATCAAAAAAGAAGTGTTGCCTTAAATGAATGGTTCTTCCAGACACCCTTGCACAGTCTCCATATAAATTTTATGGAATTCATCATGAATCAAGTCCAGTAGAACTCTGAGGTGTGTCTGCAATACAAAAGTGTCCACTGAGTCAATGACTGTAGCAGTTTTTCGTAATATGAAAAGGTCAAATCCTAATGAGCCTGATTTTCAGACATTAAACATCTTTAACTCCTATGAAACGTGATGTAAAAAATCTTTTGTCAGCAGTTCCCCAAAAACAATTAATTTTCTTATTTCAATGAGTCAATTTTTAATGAATTCCTGCTTATAAATATGTTGTCTTTTGCTACAAATTACCTACTTTATTTTTCAAATGTATATCCTTGGTCTCTTTCATGATTAGTGAAAAGGAAAAGCCAAAAGTAAGTCGATTAATGATGTGGTAAATATAAAACTATCTTAAATCACTGGAATTATGTTTTTCTTCTTAAATATAACTTTTCATATAAATGTACTAATTATGTTTTACTTTTCAGAAGGCTCTCAGTTTCCAAGGTGTAGAGGCACTGTATCTCTTGACTGATGGAAAACCAGACACCAGTTGCAGTCTGATTTTGGAAGAAATTGAACGATTGAGAAAGGAACAAGATATTAAAATCCACACCATTTCTTTTAGCTGGGCAGACAGGTATATGATACTTTGCAAGAACAACAGAAAAAACTTTCCAAATTACTAGTTTATTTATTGTCAGAAATCTCTGTTACCAAGATGGGAACAGGGAAGGTTGTTCTGACACAGGTATTTGCCACATGACTTACCTTTCATACAGAAGTTTATAATCATGTCCTCCCAACTATTTTTAGATGTAATGTTTTTTGAGGAGTTCTTAGAAATTCTTTTTCTATTGCTGTTGCTTTCAGAGAAATCAGTTTTCATAAGCAACTTTCTACTTTGTTGTTAACAGAGGAGCTAATGAATTTCTGAAGAAACTTGCTTCCCAGACAGGAGGGCGCTACCATTGCTGCTTTGGAGATGAAGATGGACAATTAGCAGCACACAGAATATTGGCAGAGGGGCTTGAAGATGAAGATGTATGATAAATGGATTGGTTTGGGTTGTTTCATTTCAACTTAGTTCTTCACCAGAAGTCAAACTCCATTTAAACAAAAAAAAAAAAAAAAAGAGAGAGAGAGAGAAAAAATAACACAAGACTCCTAAGATACTTCACATTGAAACCAAAAGGAGGAATCTTAGTATTTGTCTTTGCCTTTCTTCTAACTGCCTTGGTCTGGTGCCCAAACCCAGGAAAGGAGTATACAGTGCAATATAGGTTTTGAAAGAGAAGTAAAAAATATATCTTGGGCCAGTGTGGATTTTAAGCTAACTTTAGCTTTTACTGTGCTTTCTTATGCTTGCCATCTTGTATTTCATTTAAGTAATTGTAAAATCCTTATAGAGTGTTTGGCACATTAATTCTCTAGCATGAGACCTCAGGGATTCCCACAGCAGAAAAATGTTAGTGAACAGAACCGAGTTCAATCTAGAATTGCTCTGCTCTCCCCTTGTAAGACCAAGACCTTCTCTGCAAGTAGGTAGGAGTAGGGAAATGTAGAACTTAGGCTCAGTTAACTAAGTTGGTAGAAACAGAAAATAATTAATTGTTTCAAGTTAAAGTAGAATATTTTAACTATGTTTTCAGGATCCAGCTTTCCCTTACTTTGAAGGAGATGATTTAAAGAAACTTATGCAAGAAGTAGCAAAAGCTAGAAGTTTCTTAAAACAGGCAAAATCTTGGAGGTGAGTATTTATCAAGAGTCTTTGTATTTTTTATTTCATGGAAGGAAGACAAGAGTATCTGACTCCCAGTGTCTGCTATATAAAAAATAGGATTGGAGTGAAAGACAATTAAATTGTATTGATCCTTATGTTTCTTCATTGTTATCCTTCCTAACTGCCAATCCAGAACCAGAAAGCACCATTTCAATGGTAATGGTGGGCAAAAGTACTTGAAAAGAGCTTTAAAATGCATTATACCTCTTCAAATAAAAGATTTTCTGTCATCCAAGGACACAGCTGAACAAAGGCACAAAGGTACTATGTGCCTCTGTGAAAAACTGCTGGAATTCTTGGGGATTTGTTTTTCTTTCAAACAGATTATTACTTGAAAAACGGAATATAAACCAAAAGGACAATTCCAGCTTTCAAAGAAGTGCTCAGGTAAATAGATCATAGTTTATACAGAATTCATGTGTTTCAGTAGAAGGCTAATATTTCATAAGCCTAATGTTAAATGTATTCATTTTCAGCAGGGAGTTTTTCCAAAGTTGAAATAATTTGTAATGATTTTAGTTCTTAGCTGAGCTGGTCCCCAGAATAACCCAATATAACCACAGAACAGTTCAAAGGGGACAGTGTTTGGGGTGAAAGGAGTAAGGCAGGTGTGTGTTTGTAGTTATCAGTGGTCCAGCTCATTCTAAGAGAGCAGTTAAGCACATTAGAGGGTTAGAACCAGATGTAATGGCTGTAATAACAATTGCTGCATGTGCTGCATGATTTATCTGTTAAATGAACAAGGCTGACTGAAAAAAGACCCCACTAATAGTAAAGAGCCTCAGCAAACATGGCACTGTTGTTACAGAGTGGTGGGAGAGGCAGCTGGGCAAACTAAACCTCTCCCAGAGCCAACCTCCAACCTGCTGCTTTTAAACTGGCAGAGTATCACAGGAAAAGAGAAATGACTGGGTGGAAGTACTTTCTCAGTGTTAATCAAGACAGAAGCATTTCTCACAGAGCTGTTTGAGGGAGAGCTGTGGACACACAGACAACTGCAGAGAGTTGCACTACAGAACTTTGGTCTGCCGAGATATTCATCAGGGAAATGGGTAATGCAGACAGAGTGAGACTGGTTTTTAAATCCTTGTTTCTGTGGCTGTAGTTTGTATTTCCTTTTAAAAACGTTGCCCAGTCATTCAAAGAGGAGAAAAAAAAATCCAGTCAGCCCCACTGGCTAAGAATGCTTGTTCATGGAGAGTGGAACCTGGAGCCTGGCCAGGTATGTGCAGAATTCAGCATCTAAGGGCTGATCACTCAAGAGAAAAGCTTGGAGAGGAAATGAATGTATAACCATCCTGTAGTAGCAAGGAAGTTGTTACAGGCATACAGAGATAAACCTAGTGTTCCACAACCATCTCAGTCTTTCAGCCTTCCAAGGAAAACTGTATTGCTTGTAAAGCATATAGGAATACATTCCTATTAAAGTACTTCAGAAAGTGCATAGCCCTGGAGCACCATTAAACATGTAAGGAAACTTTCAATTTAATTTGTATTGGTTTTCCATTGCCATTTTGTCAGGGGTGATGGTGAGCCTGTGCAGTTTATATATTTTGAGTTTTTAAAACTATTCATGTGCTTCACTTGTAGGATTAAATTTTAGATGAAGAAAAGATGCTGAAGAGGTTTGGAGTCAGACCACTAACCTGCTTCTTTTCAGAGTGTGCTCAAAGCTTCCAGCAGAAAGAGCGAAGATGAATTCTTTGTTGTCACGAGTGCTGGCCAGAGCAGTTGCAGGTGATAAGTGCTGCATTGACTCCACTTGTAGACTCTGCAGGACTCAAAGTAAATCAAGCCCTGAACTCTCCAAAGTTTCAGCATAAGTAGAGGATAGTTTCCAATATAGCTGATACAAATTTTAAAAGTGTATGTATTTCTAATATAAGTAGGAGTTATACAGGGTTACAACTTTTGTTTCTATTCTACTGCATCATATTAATAATTTCTTCAATTAGTTGTTGGTATGTCCAAATTGTCTTTTTTTGGAAGTTGGTTGGAGATTTCCTTCCTGGTGCTCATTATGCCCAACAGATGGGATGGATGGCTGTGATATTATGAAGAGAATTCTCTGTGCCAGTTTTGCATAGAAAGTCCAAGCAATAACTTTAGTGCAGAAAACAAGCTTGGAATTCATGTTTTTGTCAAGAGAAGTTTGCTAATAATTATTTCTACCCTTTGCTTTTTAAGTTGCCAGTACAGAAATATTTAGAGTTAATGATTCAGAAATGATCAGATGTGCAAACAAGTAATATATAGTTGCTGATACAGCTTGGTTATGTTTGTGTAACCAGACACTGCTAGTCTTCTAAGCAATTCTGTTAAGTTCTTATGTGTTTCCTGTCTGGAAAGATTTAAAGTATGTTTGCCAGTACCAGCTGATTTATGAAATACACTTTTTTTTACTGCTGAGCTCAGTAATGACAGCTCACTAGTATTTTGTAGGTGTTTATTGTTGCCTTTAAGAGGATTATAAATTTATTTTAAGTGTTTAATATATGTAATATAATAAAAATGGATTCAGACTGCAAAATTCAGATACTTGATCTGCATTTATTTAAGAGCCATTTGCATCTCCTGAGTGCCAGCTGATGGGGATGACTGGATATACTTTGATATGGGAGACAGTCTCTTTTCTGTCCCTCCTTCTCTTTTGTCTCTATAAAGAATTAAAAACTATCTGTATCATAGAAGTCTCTTTTTAGTGTTGTATGCTCTGAACCAGGTGACTCCTGCATTCCAGGTTAGTCCCAGGCTACACTGGAATACTGCAGTTAAACTGGTGCTTTGTGCTATGCTGTACTTCCTGGGATTTTGGTAGTGTATGTGTGGAACTACTGAGATGCTTTGATATGAAAATGTTAGTTGTAAATTAATAGGATTAGTTACGTTTCTGTTTGGAGTATAGAAATATTAGGTGACAATCACTGATAAAATAAGTGAATTTGTACTAAGAAACGTTAAAACAGTAAATCCAGGTAGGAAGGATGAGTGTTCTGTATTGCCAGGAAGGGTTTCTTATATGTTCCTTGGAGGATTTGAGAAATGTCACAGTACTGCAGCATAGATTCTGATATTCTTACAAAGGTCCTTTCAAAGAACTTAAAAGGAAATATGCTTGTGCAGGTGTGGTAAATGATCTCAGAGGCTCCGTGTGAAGGAAGAGTGTCATGCACATGTCCAATTTCAGTGGGTTCTGTTAAATTACAATTGTCAAACCTCTCATTTTATAGCCTTTTTTTCCCCTGTGTAATACTTGGTGTTCAGATATTTTACTCATTCAAAACAATTCCATTTACATGGGCTGATTGCCAATGGATCTGTGTAATCCTGAGTTGTGGCAGCCTACATTCATACTCATCACTCAGCTGTTTGTTTTGGCTCAGACTGGTTGTTTCTGTGGGCAGAGCAGAGCACGTGTCTCTGGTTCTCTTGAGCTCTCACACTTAAAGTAGGTGTTAGGAACTGAGGAATCTTCTCTTTGGTTAGAATCTGTGTAACTCCAGAAGCTATAAAAGTCAGTATTTAGCCTTGTTGTCTTGGAGGCTGGTCAGCCCTGCTACCCAGTCACAGCAGCTGCTTCCTTAAAATACAGATCCTGTCTCCTTCTTATTACCCACCTGGAAACTCCCATCCTACCTGCTTCCATCAATCTGAGGGCTACCGAGCCAGGAACACATTTTAAGGAGATGGTTCATTTGGGACGATGTGAGTAACTCTGTGAGTGACTCCAGTGTCAGTCTGTCAGGTTTATGTCACTTGCTTTCCTGCTTTATGCTTCCTGGAATGCAATTCACTGTATTCAAGACATAATAAAAGAGGAGTTTTATAATTGACCAAGATGCATATTTTTCTGCCAGCTCGTTTGTAAGTCATGTCATTGCTGTGACTCACTGAATATGTTGAGTTGTGTGCAGTGAATTAAAGACAAATGGCTAAACCAGTTGCCACCTCAAAGTATGCGTGCTTCCCCTATGAGAGGAGTGCTGTTCTCACAGCAGGAGTGGGTAATTTCCATGTGGAACAGCTCATCTACTGCCATAATTTACAGTTTCCAGCTCCTGTGCTACATTGAACTGGTGCACATGCTCATAAAACCTTAGTATGGACTGGCAGTTCAGAAACTCCTTTGTTGTGCTTCAGGGGACAGAAACTTCCAGAAGAAGGGTGGGACAGCTTGGCATAGTAACAAATTCCTCCATCTAAATATGCCTGAATTTGAGTCAACCCCAGAAATTGATTCTGCTCCAGAGGAAGGTAACGGCAGTGAGTGTTGTGTCCTTTGGAATTCTGTTCAGGAAGAATTGCTCTGTGCTGTATTAGTATATTGCCTACTGTGAGCACGTATCTGTAACCACAAAGTTCCAAGACTTTAGGCACCCAAATATGTTAACAGAACTAAGTCACAGGAATTTTCGTTAAGTGTTTTAAAGCATCTCAGTCAGATGTATATAGAATACTTTTCATTCCATTGAACCTCAGTCCTCTGAGAAACCATCTCAAACAGATGCATAGGAGATGTTTGCTTATGGATTAGTTTAAATAAATAAATAAGACAGAGAGAGGAAGAAGGGAAAACAATTCCAGAAAGCTGCCAGCATCAGAAAGCACCTTATTCCTTCCCTGTCTCTGTTACAATAATGATAATCTAGGGTTTAGGTAACTATACTGAATGCACTGGTGGAACTACTGTATGAGGACTGGTAATCTCTCACTCATATCATGTGAGACTTCATCAGTTAGAATCTTAAATTCTACCCAGAATTCTGTAGGTAGTTTAGGCTGACCTTGTAAGCCACAAATTTACATCCTATGGGCTGCCTCTGTCGTCGTGGCCACATTTAATGTGGTACTAAGGCTCTTTCTAAACAACTAGCAAATAACAAACCTAATCTCTCCTAGAGGGTTTCTCCTTTTTTCTTTCCTACTTGGAAAGTCCTGCAGCTTTTGTTATGATTTCTGGGTTAATAACAATAGATGTGAATGGAATTTTGCAAATGACACCTGGTAGAAGTTATGCCAAGATTTTAAATGATACCCAGTGGGCACAGTGCAAAACATCCTCCTCTTCTGTCCATCCTAAGCCACCTCCCATGCCCTCAGAACTCCTCCAGTGGTTTTTGGGATGAAAGCAAACCATGTAATAGTAATGTTGATCTGTACTTCTCTCTAGTGCAACCACCATTAGAAAACCTTTGAATTAAGAGGAAACCTATTGGAATTGGTCTTATAGTCCTTTTAAAACCTGCATCTGTATACTTCATTCCTGTGGCTTGTTTTCTCTGTGATTCCTGTGTGTAACAAGCCAAGCTGTGATCCCTGCTAATTATATAGAAACCTGCCTTTATTCAGTGCAATTTAATGCAGTATTTTTATTTATGATGCATTTGTATTCTTTCCCTTCAAATATTGCATAAACTGTTGCCTTTTTTTAACAAGACCTAAGAGCTGATAAAGAGATGTTCACTGCTGCTGTGAGAAGTTGTTTTGTTTCTTCCTGTAATTCCATCCTGACTTGGCAATGCAGGCTCACAGTTATCATTTCATTTGACCTGTAAATCAATCTCTGTAACATGCAAAGCAGCCACGAATGCAAAGGAAATGAGAACAAAGTCACGGGAAAAGCATTTTATATGACACATTCCAAGGCTCTATTTATGTGTGCTTTATTCCTTCCATGAGGAAATAGTGAAATATGCAGAATTGTAACTCACATACACAAAGAAACGGGAAAAAGGAAGGAATAGAGACTGTTTATGTATGTTAATGAAGAATGGAGGGATTTAAGAAGAAGAACCTGATCTCTCAGCTTTGCAGCTTGGAATAAGGATCTGCATCTTCTTTTCCCTTCTGGTCTGGACTTAGAGCATGACATGGGTAAGTTGCTTTGCCTCTGTGTCTTACCCTTCTAACTTAGCAAGGAATGTGAAGAATGTTGCATTATCATAATACTTTGGGTATTAAATTACATCTGTTATTGCATTAATTGGGAAACCTTTTTTAAGGATGATGTCATGCCTTAGAAATATTTGATAGGTACCACTGTTTAGCATTGGGTTATATGAAAAATAAATATTAGGTTTCCTTTAATTCAGATACCATGATTTATCTTTTTGACCAAAACTTTTAAGCACAGCAAGACATAATTAGAGGAGAGTTTCATTCTTTTCCCTTTTTTCCATTAACATTGCAAGACCTTCTGATTTAAATGCTTTTTAACATTTTCGGTCTTCTCTCAATGAAAGTGTGATTCCCTCACCATTGACACTTCCCTACTCTCACCTCTCTGTTGGTTTAGACTCAGTCCTTGCTATGAGGGTGATTGTTTTTGTAGTCACAAAGGGATTAGTACATTTAGTCAGAAGTACTCAACAGATCTGTCCAGACTTCTCTGGGGTTGCAGAGGGGATCAGTGATGTGGTGCACTGTCCAAACAAGTCTCACCACTCTGAGTTCACAGATTGTGTCAGTACGTGTGATGGGGCATCTGGATGTGAACAAGTGCACAAGGAGGTGTTCGAACACATGACGAGTTTGAACAACTCTGCTAATTTAGGGCTTAGATATAGAATTTTTAATAA